ATGAGATCACTTCCAAACAGAAGCAATGGCTTAAGAATGAGAATATAAATGCATTTTACAAACTCATTGAATCCGATTCAGTGAGTGTCGGCGCCAAAAGCTTTATTCAGGTTTTGCATACATTTTTCGTAGTTTTATTCAATTTGAATGAAAAGTAATTTAAATGTTTTATGCAAAAGGCGTCGGGAATCGGAAAATTCACACCAAATATAGTTATGTTGGGTTATAAAAGCAATTGGCAATCATGTGATTCTCTCGATCTTATCGACTATTATCAGATAATTCAGTAATTTTTATTATTTAATGTTTTAATAAAAATTAATTTCATATACTGTATGTTATCATGATCCAAATTTAGCTCAATTTTGGACAACAACTTGTCGTTAATAATATTACGCTTGAGAGAAGGCCACGATTTCTCTGCCTATTTGAATATTGAGTGCTACAAACCTAAGAATAGTTTACCTCATTTGCATCACACAAGAAGTACTCATTCACTCATTCAATCAAATTTTAGTTAAAATAAACTTTTCTTTTACTCAGAAACAAGTGCTATATTTTCGATATCAAAGTCAATGACTTCTCACAATTCAATCAACGATTTCAAAGATGTGGCTAATTTTGAGCCAAATGTGGACCAATTGGCCAATCGGTTCAAAACACAGCAAACAAAGGGAACGATCGATGTTTGGTGGATCTACGACGACGGGGGGCTCACTCTTCTCATTCCCTTTATACTCAAAAACGATGCCCTTTGGAGGGGATCTAAGCTCCGGGTCTTTTCGGTGACCAAAGACATGAATGAGATTAATAACCAACAGAATAGGTTAGGCATCGCTTCAGTCATATCCTATTAATGTATTGATTGATTAAACTAATGAAATGTTTTGTATAGTTTGGTACAGTTATTGAATAAGTTTCGCATTCCTTACTCTGCAGTGAGAGTGCTCTCAAACTCGGACCAAATGCCAGCCGAAGAGACGTAAACTTTTATTTGAATTGTTTTTTATTAAATTGAGTGTAAAATTGAATTTGTTTTAACAGAAAAAATCGATTCATAAAATTAATGTCAAAATCGATGTCCACATTGACTGACGAACAGACAGTAGACTCACTTCAAGAGGAAGTCATACGATTCAAAGATAAAGTAATCTGTGCTGACATTTGTGTCTTATTTATATAATTCATTTTATTTATTATTTAAAGACAAATAGATATTTACGTCTTCGGGAACAGATTGCGGAGAACTCGAGGAATGCCACTCTTGTGGTGATGTAAGACCAATTAAAAAATAATTTATTCTCTGATACAATTGACTGATACATTATTGTCGGCACATTAGGACATTACCCATACCTCGTAAGCATATGGTGTCGGCCATACTCTATATGGCATGGATTGAGACACTGACCGACAATATGCCACCGTTTTTACTAATTCGCGGCAATCAATCAAATGTTTTAACAT